GAACTATAGATGCGTTGCCGGCCTTTGAGGAAATTGTAGGCTCGCTTCTTAAAGGACCATAAGTCGTATTGGTTTGGAAATACCGCCGAGGACAGACCGTTCCACGACGCGGCTGTGCGGGGCAGAAAGTTCGGCGAAAACCGCACGGTTGTGGAATGCCAGCCATCAACATGGCTTGCATTTGCTTTAATATGTATAGTGGGAGACACTGGCCGTGGTCCACCGTAAAAGCTACAATCGTTTGAACATTTTGACGAGACGCGGAACAAAAATCTAAACACGCAGCTTATAAATGTGTGTACGAAAAAAAGTCGGTTAATAATACATAGCTAATTTCTTTTATTAGACCTTCGTTTGCACGCACTGCTATGTAATTAGTTATTTATAGATGCGGAGTTTTTGTCGTTGTATTGAACAAGGTAATTTTTCAAAGTGAGACACCGCGGATGTCTGCGACTGTACATTGAAATGCTCACCGGCTACAATTTGTTCAGGTTTCTCGGGAAATTTCACCTCGAAACAGGATCTATATGTAAACTGATCTTTCTCTGTATTGTTACGATTCTGAAACAAAAGATATTGTTAGTCTTTATCAATTTTCTGATAATAATTGGGTTTTATTATGACAATTTGTATTTTTAATTCTTTCGTTGTTTTTTTTCCTTATCAATAAAATTGGTTATTACTAGAACATAGTATAAATCGGTAATTATATATGTCTATCTTTCTTAAATTGGATACTTACTTAAAAAAATATGACGTAACTGTTGAATTTTAAATATTTTTTTTTTCATTTTCATATAAGTGTAATTTTGTACCCTTTGTCGGTTTGTATTTTTAATGTTTAATTTCTTCAAGTTTTTTAATTCTAATTAAAAAAATCGTACCTCTTGATTAGTAAATTCCGAGTAGACTCTTAAATAAATCGTAGGAAAACAACTTAAAATGAAGACTTCGTTGGTTTCCGGAGCTCCGATCGCCAATTCTATAACAAAATTAAGTAGTTTTAATTTTTTAATCTATCTATGCTAACATAAACATGCGTAAACACACACTACTTAGTTTTGTAATTCAACATCTGGAATCAAAGTATGTATTTGAATAACTCCTTTTTCATTAACAGTACTACAATTACGATACGCTTTCGGCTATATAAAGCGTAATTTTCACACTGTTAAACTTGTAGTGTAAATAAATTTAATAAGAAAGTCTTGCGGGAAAGAAACTAAAACTACAAGCCAATTGCAGCATAGAAGTAAAGTTGCTATGATAACGGTAATACCAAAACAGAAAATTTGACAAATGTAAACAATAAAATAAAGTTTAAATAAGCTGATAACTCCGCACGGCAACAGCTAGTTTTTTTTAATTAGTATTGTACTTTTAAGTCGTTTTACCATTGCATCCGTTTTCGTCGTGGTCTCGCAATGCAGTCAAGCTGAGGCCGAAACTTCTAGACGTTTCTTGAAGCACCTTCTGTGTGTACTTAACTTCCATATTGTCATTCTCTGACAGAATATTTCTCGCCGTGTAAATGTAGACAGCGCCTTGACCGCCGTTTTCATATGGCGCTGCAATCGCCACGTCTAAAAAAAAAACTGTGTATAAATAAATGTTTTATATGTACTTAATAAAATATTTATCACAACAAAAACCAATGACAATATTGTTAGGAAATAGTAGGAAATGGAAGGAAAAGTGGGTAGTTTTATAAAACACTTGCAAAGTGTGACAGAGCTCAGTGTCAGTCCGGCAGTCCCACAGTACATTTCTAGTCACAAATAAAAAAAATAAATAGAAATTCATTATTGATCCAAAAACAGTTTTGCACAGTTAGCGGGACTGTCTCCTGAGCTAGTAATAATTGTGTTTCAGGAGGCAGGGCCTTCTTTTAACGATTGTCTTGCGCAATTTAAAATACATATTATACATTGTTACTTGTGTTAGTTTTAAAGTAATCAACAAGTTCTGTTGATTTTGCCGATCGTCCATATATATTTTTAAAATAATTTGTATCGAAATATCAAAAAATATATTAACAACAAAAATGACAGTACCATCTAATTTATCTGAATCGATATCTCCGAGGTTAACAATGGCGCTGCCGAAGCGACCTCCGACTTCTCTCCCTTTGATAGTCCTCGTTAATGTCAGCGACTAAAAACAAACAAATGAAACATAAGTATACAGAAAATGTAAATTATTTTATTACTTTCTTATTTCCTTGCTAGATGTTTAGGTTATATTTTTAGAGATAAAACACACTTCCACATTTTTTTCTTCAATTATAAATTTACTTTAAACATGATTTATAGAGTACAGCCTAACTAATAATAAAAAAAACTGACCTGAGGTCGTTACAATCGTATTTTTTTACACTTTTTAATGTTCACAAAGAAATAAGTTCCATTGTGTTACCGAAATATGGCGAGGAATACTTTCAAACAATCGTAACCAATCATGAGTTTGTACTTCGGAATCAAAATTATGGACAATGTATGAACTGGATACACTTTTATACATTAATATATATGTATTTACCTTATCATTCGGCATATAAATATGTACAGCGCCGATATCAGCATCGCTGGTATCTTTAGGTACATAAGTCGGAGCAGCGACTAATAGAGAATGGCGGTCGCCAGTCAACTGCAGCGTGCAAAGAACTGCACCAAACAGAGTCCCCAATCTTGATTCCGAGTCCAGAATCGTCTGTATATATTCCCCATTTTCTTTATAGAAGAGTAGCTGAAATTGTTAAGATTTTAGAGCATAAGAGCACAAACAAAAGGTTGACGTTTACTAATCTTTGGAATTACCTTTTAATAAAGAACTCCCATTTAAGTATCCAATAGATACTTGTTTTATTTTGTATTCAGATATACAAAGAAGTGCATTTATAATAGTCAGAAGTAAGATATATGTTACCTGACCAACTCCATTGTTACCATACGGAGAACTAATAACGTAAGTTATTTCGTCAGAAAAAAAATGACCGCTGGCTATTCCGTAACCTGAAAATAACAAATAAAAATTAGTAAAGTCAGCTAATTATGATAGCTAATGTTTTTATGCTTTAAATATTGTGTATTTGACATTTTACTGATTAATTTTACCAATAAAATATGTCGAGATTTATGTTAAAAAAACATATCGACGAATTGAGTACCTCCTTCTTTTGGGAAGTCGGTCAAAAAACCAAGCGGGATAAATAGTCAGATACATTAGTAGCTATCTATTAAAACATAGGTATATGAAGTCTTGGGAGTGTTTCACTTGTTTGTTTTGACAATAAAGTAAACTTACCAAAGTTGAAAAAAGTCTTGTCATCCGCTAAATGTGAACTTTGAGGCGATATTAGTTGTGGGGAGTTAGTTATATTTTCATATTGTATTACTCGACCTGAAAATTAAAAATTCAATATGCATTTTTAAGATAACACATTCATTTAACTATGCTTTCTTTAAAGAAACTATTTACTTATATGCTAGCTTTTGTTCGTGGCTCCGTCCGAATAGAATTAAAAAAGTAGACTTTACATCTATGCTAAATTTAATAGAGATCAGTTCAAACGTTAAGACGCCAAACTCCAGCAAACATCCAAACTTGCCCAAGTAAGATATTCGAAACAAAATGTTTATTTTCGGTAACAATTGGTGACGCCATTTAAGGAAAACATGAGAAGCTAATTTTACAATTGTACTTAACAAATAATACAGAATTATTAATATGATTACAGAATACTAATAATTATTAATAAATCTATTCTTCCTTCTTTCCACATACTATTCTTAAATAATGATGGGAACGAATAGACATGTTTATTGTACCTTTTGCAATTCCTGGACCACCGATTAAAATGCGGTCATTTTCAGTGATTTCAATACTCCACCCGAATGTATCCATTCTATGACCTGCAAAGTAAAAAGGGGCTAAGGGCCTGTCCCACTAAACTGTAAATTGTCTGATAACAATCCAACGTGTAAAATATGTGATGGAAATAACGAAGTTTGTTCCCTTATCTGACAGTGACGTCATTTTTAAGCTATCTGAGCTTCTATCAGCTAGTGGTGAGACTGGCCCTAAATAAAATACATTCTATACCATAATCTAGGCCATCCCTATAGTGGTTGTGTAAGATTTTATTTTACTAAACAAAATGGCTGCTCAAATAATCCATATCTATACTTCTATACTAACATAATAAAGCGTAAATGCAGACTGCTTCGCGGCGTAGGATGTCAGCAATCACAGCATATTTTTGAATAAATATTCCTTTAATAAAAACCCTACACTTACGACACGCTTTAGGTTATATATTTTCACGCTATTAAACTTAGGGCGTAAATAATTTGGATAAAACCCTAATGTGGGAAAGGGACCATAAACTACAAGCTGACATCAAGGAAGCAAGGTTTCCATGGTAACGGTAATTGTAATCCAATGTCTTCAAGGACTTCATTGTCATTTGTGTATAATAAAATAAAGTGTATAATTTCACGCGGATGAAGCCGCACGGGAACAGCTAGTGTTTAATACATAGTCATGTTTAATAACGTACCGTAGGTAACTATATCCTTAAAACGGTCTACCTTTAACATCTCAGGCATAGCGATCGTTTTACTGCCGCCTTGGAAAATCTTCGTGAAACATTTTCCAAATGTACCGAGAACCGTACCTAGAAGTTAATAATAGTAATAAGATACTTTAAATTGTTATTCCAATAACTAAAATTGTATTGAAAAAGCAGTTACAACTCAACGCGGAGAGGAACTGCGAGGAAACATAAAAATGACAGACGAACTGATAACCTTATTTTTGAAATCGGTTAAAATAAAAAAGTGCATATAATCCCAATAATAACTAAAGATATATTCTTAATTTTTAATTTAAGGAAAACATTTATGAGTCTGGAAGTACACCGGTAGAGGTAGATCTAAAAAAAGATGTATTGCGTTAAAGGTGACATCAAGATGGGAGTGATGTCTGAGATGACGTATGATAGTTATTTGGAGGATAAAAATCCGTTGCACCTTACGGCATTAGGATAAAGTAGGGGAGATGATGATCTATGATTACAATTATTGATATTGTAAAATGATTAAATAATTTTATAGCTGACATTTTAAACTTTTACTTACCGGCCTGGACTGGCCGTGGAGCGCAGGTCTGAAACATATTTCATGGTGTTGAAATTTTCATACGTTCTATAATTTGCTAGCTGTTGCTCGCGAATTAGTCCGCGTGAAATTAAACACCTAAATAGCAAAAAATATAGCCTTGTTACTCACTGATAACGTAGCTTTTAATGGTGAAAGAATGTTTGAAATCGGTCCAATAGTTTTTGATTTATTTCAATTCTTACAAAGAAATAAAAATACAAATCTTTCCTCTTTACAATATTAGTAAAGACAACTAGAAATTTTTGTTCGTTTCTTGTTAATATCAAAATTTTTAAATTAATGGATTTAAAATGGAACATTTACAAAACGAATATTCGATGCATTGTTCTACGTTATGTTCAAGTATTTTAAATACAATTATACATAAACAATTATATTTTCATTCGTGTAAAAGGTTATATAAATATTGATTACATCGAGATAGTTACCGTATAAAAAGATTTCCCCGTCTTAACTGTTGCCCCGAGCCAAGGTTTCGTAGTGTTGTCATCTAAAAAGATTGTTACAAAAATGTAATGTTAAAAAAATGACTGGCTGGAGAGAATATGAATCGGATGACATTTGTCAAAAATGATGCAATTGCTAAGGATACAGGTTATAAAGAAATTAACATAAATCCAAAAACACACATGGAGTAAAACGGTTGAAAAATATTAACCTTGCTAGTCAGTAAAGGAATATAATTATTATTCAATCTTGATAATAAAATGGTAAAATGCTACCTGTTAATATATTGATGTTATCTCTCATTAAATTGTCTTTGTCTATGTCATAAACATAAATGAGTCCTGTAAAGTCCGCCATTGGAGCACTTATCACCAATCTGTAGATACAAATAAAGCAACATATTATAATATAAATTAAATATATCAAAATCTATCTTTTTCTTCAAGGAACTCGTATTTTTTTTACTTTTTTTCCAACTCGAAACTTTATAAATTTTCCCATTGCTCTTATTTAAAACAATTAACATATTTAAGAAATTTTGACTCAGTTTAGTAGCTTCTTGTTTAAGGCTCGCTTTACACTTTTAACACTTTTTTTATTTCTGTCGTTTCTAGTGCGATTTCCTATGCATTTAAATGTAATTAAAATATATGTTTTACCTTCGTATGTGTGGTTGATATGCGATGCTATATCCGAAGAATGAATCATTAGATAAATACGTCTCTGGAACTATTGATTTCATTGACTTTATATGATATAATGCAAAGTTTGGTATAACGAATATTTGTACTATAACAGCCGTCCATTTTGAATCTGAAACAAAATTATTTTCAGTAATGAATTTAGTTGAGCAATAATTGATAATAGATGGCGCTGATAACAGTTGTAAATATATTTGAAATAATTTAAAAATAGGAGCATGTTTTGATTTAATATTGTAATTTTTTATAAGGAAGTTTATCTAAGGAGACAACATAACATTTGTCTAAAAACATCGTCATCCACTTGCCCTTATCTCTCTCGGAGGATCGGCAAAGTATGTGCTGCTCTTCCATACATCTCTATCAACCGTCATATCTGAATCCACTCCTTTCTTAAGCATATCCTCTTTCACAAAATCCATCCATACTTTCTTCGGTCTTCCTCTACCTTTGTAGCCATCCACATTCAATCTTAACACTTTCATAACGTTCCATATAATTGACAGATAATTTACTTACAATGCATCCTGAGTTTAATTAATGATCTAAATATCGCACTGACTGTTGACGCACATTTGAACTATACTCATATGCTTTAGGGATAATTGATTATTATATTCTTTTCCTTCCTCTACATATATGTTTGTCTGATAGATGTGAATTTAGGTACTAAAGTAGGATTTTTCGAGTAAAAAAAAACCTACTTCTTTCTTTGCAATTTACTGTTTCAGCTAGTGTTTAATAGGCGAATTATCTATGGTGAATTATCAGCGGTAACTGGGTGGCCGCCGACCCGTCGCTTGGCCCAGATACCGCTGGCGAGATGCCGTAGAGCTGGACCTGCGTGAGCTAGAGTCGATCGACTGTCAGGCGACGACACAGGACAGACGATGCTTGCGCTCTCTCGTGTCGGAGGCCAAGAGCCACTTCGGGTCTCTGCGCCAACGCAGTAAGTGAGTAAGGCGAATTATCCTTTTTAACCTAATACTTATCTTTTTTAAAGTTATCAAAAAACCAGATTTAAGCATTTGTTTACACAGGTGTGACACTTTACACAGTTAAGTAATATTATAAAGGTAACTTGTACCCTTTCGGTCCGAAATATGTCTTTAAAAGAAAATGTTATAAGTAAAAAAACAACGATAACACCCATAAAATATTTAGTCTTTGATAGTTTTAGTGGTTTCTTAATAATTGCGTGTTCTAATATTACTCATGATTTAGTTATTTTTGAAACAACGGCAAACGTATACTCAGTACGAAATACATAACGAGGACAAATGTAGTTTGCGGTTTTAAATTTAAATACTTCTACAAAAAACTTTTAAAATGTTTACTAAAACATTTGTATTGCTTATATTAACAAATACGGTACTTGGGGCGCTTTTTCACGAGTCATCACTGATACAAATAGAGCCACCAGATGATATTGAAAATATGGCGTTTGGGTTTTCAATAGGTTATCAAAAATCAGGACAATTGGGTAAGTAAATATATTTGTAGTTTTTTTTCGATCTGATAAGAAATTTAAACATATTTGTAAAGGAAACTGGCTCAATTAAGTATGTAGTCAACTGCAATTTAGCCTCGAATTACTCGGTTAGGATGTGGGTGAGCTGATATTACCCCAAAGAGATCTCGAATCTTAATAATTTTAGTGTTATATAACCTAATTTTTTTGGTGTCATGGGAGAAGGAGTGTTTCGAAGATACACTGCCCTCTGGGAAAAGATTTATAGAGATTTGACCCACTACTCTCGGTGGCCATTTTAAAATGAAATAGAAGTGGGTTCCGGGATCTCCTAGAAACCAGAAATTAACACATATTCACTTAAAATGAATCATTTTGTAAAGGAAGTCTTTGGCTTCTGAAAACAGGAATCCTAGTTAAGTCGTGAAATACTAATTGATGCAGTCATCCTTAGTGTGCAATTAGGGTATTCTTATTCTTATGATGATTGTTTTAGTGATCGGCGCACCGTATAACGACTTAAACGGAGCTGTATACATATGTACTATTGAAGATATAATGAATGACAAACGCGTCTGTCAAAAGGCTAACATCGACGTGGAAGGACTCACTGTAAATTCAACTAGAGGTAAATAATTTTACTCTTCACAACAATCCAGATAAGTGGTTAAAGATTTTATCTTCTTCTTCTTCTTAAAGTGCCATCTTCTTCCGAAGTTCGGCGATCATTAGGGCGACTTTCGTTCTTGACACCGCGGCTCTGAAGAGTGAACGGGTGCTTTCCATACCACTGGCGTAGGTTTTTGAACCAGGACGTTTTTCTTCGACCTACGCTTCGCTTTCCGTGGATCTTGCCTTGTACGATGAGCTGCAGTAATTCGTATTTGGCATTTCGTATTATGTGATGTGTGTGTGAAAAGAATTAATGAAACCACTTATTTGTAACTAATTATTGTAGTAACGGTTTTCGATTATTTACGGTTCAATGGAATCGTTCAATATTAAGTTATATCTATATAGGAAATAGATCAGATTTTAAAGACTGTTGATCGTAATAAAGTCAAAAATAATTCAGCCGTTGTAATGGTGATATCCAAACAAACACAGGACACAGACGACCTGATAACCTCATTTTAGAAATCGGTTAAAACCACAAAAAGGGCAAATAAACCTAGTAATTAACTTGATATGAGTATTCTCAATCATATGTTTCTATTTTTCACACTATAATTTTGATGAATTTCATGCTCTGTGTTTATGTCCAGAAGATTATCCTGATCGCCATTACTGTCTTGGTGCATCTATCGCTGCAACTGACGATTATTTTTTGGTAAGTTTTTTGAAGGTTTTTCAAGTACGACTTAATTTGTTCTATATCAGGGGGCGTCCACGATGTGCCACTAGCTCCCTCTATCCTTTTGCAAGTATATTGTCTTATAAATTGTGTTGAGTACACAGTGTCTATACGCTAAATTACGATACAATTTTTTTCCTCTTTCAAAATTGTAAAATAAATTTCGGTAAACTTGTAGTGACTTAATCTTAACATTAGGTGATTCAAAATGTAAAAACTCCCAATTCTATTTAAGTTTCACTGAATCACAACTTTAAAGTAAATAAAATTGCCTTTGGTAGCGACATTTCTTTGTTAATAAATTATTAATATTACAATTGCGAAAGTTTAGATGGATGGATGATCAGAGTTTGTATCCTAAACAGATGTCTATGAAATTCGGCATAGACGTAGAGCATAATCTGGAAGAACACAGGCTACTTTTTATCCCGAAAATATTTACCGTTCCCTTGGGATACGTTAATGAAGATATAAATTTTATAAAATGGTTTGCTTTAATAACAAATTATTACAGACTTGCGCTCCGTTTTGGAAGTCTTCGTATGATAAAATTGAACCGGGAATTACCTCTAGCTCGTATGGTACTTGTTTTATGTACAATGGAACTGCACATCTTTATAATGGACCTTACGAACAATACATAAAAAACAAGGTCAATAGACGTAAGTAATAGTAACTATAGGATTTAATACAATTAAAACAGCCAGATAGCTAAATAAGTGTTTTTAAATGGCAATAGATGGCGGTAGTAGTATTAGTGTTGCCATTGTCAAAACAATTGCACCATCATATGTTTACATTAACATAGTTAAGTGGTAAAAAATAACAATAAAATGGCCGAAACGAAGTGCGCCTTAAGTTTCATTTGATAGATTTATTTCACAGATTCTTTTGGAAATGGACTTGGTTGGACTTCGTTATACGATCAAAGTAACAATTTGATACTTTTATCCAAGATATTTGACAGAGGCCACCTCAGTTATATTTCAAGCGAAGACCCTTTAAAGCCTTCATGGTCAACAGAAAGCCTCACTAGTACTGCGAGGTTCCAAAGTATTGCTAATAAGTTCCGTTATATTGGTGAGTAATGCATAAACACTATTTATTTTATCAGTAATTATACTAATATTATAAATGTGAAAGTTTAGATGGATGGATGTTTGTTAGAGTTTGTAGCCTAAACTACTGACCGGATTTTGATGTAATTCAGCATACACGTAGATAGTCTAGAAGAACACATAGACTTGTTTTTTTTAATTCCACGCGGTCGGAGTCACCGGCAAAAGCTAGTATAACATATTTTTATCATATTCAGGATCTGGTCTTGCTTCGGGAAAGTTCCTATATTCGAATACAAATCAAACGGTGTATGCAGTTAGTATGCGAACTGATGACACATATGGCAAGGTTAGTACTAACTAAAAAATACCATTTTTTTGTCACAAGATTGGTAATAAGCAGACGACTTGATTGCTACGCATCTTTATTCGAAAGTTTACATGGATGGATGTTTGTTAGTTTGTACCCTTAACTGCTGTTTGGATCTCAATAAAATTTGGAATAGATATCAAGGAAAGTCTGGAAGAACACATAGGCTACTTACTTTTGTTTTTTTTTTTAATTTTTTTAATTTTTTTTTAATTGATAATAAACAGAAGACAGAAAAGTATAAAAAAATAACACCTTTTTCTTCAATCACTTCTTTGTCAGATAAGAATTAGAAGTATTTAGGTATTTGCAGATATTATTTCTAAAATATAAAAATAAAAAACTGTATTTGGTGCCTCGTGTGAGTGTCGACTCTGAAATGGTCAACACAATGTTCGGGTCGGCGATGGTCGGCGCGGATATTAATTCCGATGGATACACAGAGCTCGTTGTGGGAGCGCCCGCGTATTACGAAGACGATGCGTACGAAACAGGAGCATTGTATATCTATACAGGAGGCGATTTGGTAAGTAGCACTTAGCTGGTTAAGTTTTTTTTGTAATTTAACTGTTTTTAAACTCCAACTCTATGTCCTATATTGAAACCTGTTTGCTCGCGAGTGAAACCTGGTTGGACCATAATGCAACATCTATCATATATCTATACTAATATTATAAAGGGGAAAGATTTGTGTTTTTTGATTTTAAAAATTCTTTCATCATTAAAAAGCTACATTATCGCCAATTAACATAGGCTACATTTTTAAATTACACATGGAGAAAGTCGCAAGCAACAGTTAGTCATAAATAAAAAATAGTAACTCTGATCGATTCTGATAATCCGATGGGAAGAATAATAATCGATAAAGGATATCTTTATATTTATTTCATCATTCATCATTTATATCGATAGGATACATTTATTTATATAAATGAATGTTTTTATGGAAAATAGTGTTTACAAAAATTGTAGCTCATTTGAGAATTTTATATTTCTTTCCATATTCAATGCATAGGAAACTATAGGAAGTAGGAACAGGACGCGGTTGATTGTTGGCAATAAAGTGGGTGCGAGATTCGGCAGTGCTATTGCTTCGACTGATGTCGATGGAGACGGTTTTCCAGGTAAGAGCCTCTTAAGAAACTTGAAAGAGTAATTACTTACTAAAGATTTTTATTACCAGCTTCTTCCATTTTGCTAACAATGAACAATTCCAATCGTCAATGATACTTTTACTTAACATTATTCTATTCAGTTCCTAACATTAGCATGTACAATCGCGGAAATTCGCGGTGTTTCACTTACGGCAAATTTGCCTTGTACTTGTACAAACTCCGCCTCTTCCTATAAATAACTAATTAAATAATAGTGAGTGAAAACGAAGGGATAATTATTATAAGGAACATGCTGTGTTTTAAATTACTTATAGACTTATATTCGTACAGACACATTTATAAGATGCGTTGTATTGATTTTTGTTCCGCGTCTCGTCAAATTATTGTAGCTTTTGAAGTGGAACATCGCCAGTGTCCTCGACTGTACATAGCTTGCTTGTTTTGCTGCATAATTTATGAAGAATGTTCTGAATTGTCTGATGCAATACTTATTTGCTGGTTTAAACTTTTTTATAATAATCAAATAGAAATCATTTTTAGAGTTAATTGTTAGTGCTCCTTACGAAGACTTTGGCGTTGGAGCTGTGTATATTATATATGGAAAATAATTGAACAAGAACTGTCTTAAAAGCGATGACTTCATAGAGACGATGTCTTTGTCGCAGTTCGTGTCGACTCAAAGATTACAGGACACTGAATATAAGTCTTTTGGAGCCATGCTTCAAATTATCAACGATGTAAATAACAACGGCGCTGATGGTAAGTTTTATGGATATAATATACAGACCTAATTTGTAGAATTTGTGAATTTACCAAAAGATAAATAACAGTGGTAGAGCTCACTTTAACATCTTCGCACTGTAGGGTCGGCTCGCCCTCCGCAATACCACGACCACACAGAAGATAGGCCTGAAGAGAGAGCATTCCCGCGTTTCGTCTGAAGAATGTGGTGCCGGAGGCACAAATTTAGTCCCTTTCCTGAACCAACCTTTTCTTATAAAGAAAGGTTTAGATGGGAAAGATTTGACGGTGGAGCAGACGCATAGGAAGGGGAAATATCCTCTTTATGTTCCTCTCCTCCTCCGTCGATCAAGGGTAGGCAACGCATCTGGAATTGCGGATGTCTATGGGTCAGTCGCTTCGCCATTTTGGCCGATTCAGGTGGCCGCTTGCTCGTTTGCCACCTTATTGTATTAAAAAATGTTATTGTCATCTTTCTTAATCCCTTTAAAGACAGACATTTTTTTTACAATTATTTTGACAATCAATGCATGCGAGAAATCTATTGAATAACGCACTTTTATGGTGATTGATATTAGTAAAGTAACAATTTGGAATACTAAATTAACTTCAAATTTACTTTTGTTTAAAGAATTAGCTGTGGGATGTCCTGAGAGTTCTCGCGTAGTTATGTACCTAGGGCTTCCTTCGGTTGACGTAACTGTTTCATCACATCTTGTTGGTGACCAGGTAAGGGAAAACTTATCAACTACCATACTCGCTTTACTGCCTTCTTAATAATTCCACTTTGCTCAAAACATTATAGTTTATGCCATCTATATTTTTATGAGATAAGGTTTCACCAAATTTAAATTGTCTGATAATAATCAAAAGTGTGAAATATGTGATGGAAATGTCTCATTTTGTTGCCTTAACTGACAGAGACATCATTTTTAAGCTATCTGAACCTCTATCAGCCAGTGGTAGGACAGGCCCTTATTGTTTTATTAACATAGCTCGTCATTTTATTCTAGGTAGTACGAATTAAGGCAAACAATTTTACGGTTCGTGTGGTGATTAATATAAATGTTCATGAAAAGCCACTGGATATCACCGGAAGTACGTATATCAGAATAGTTATAGGTTTTAACACTCTTATGTAAAAAAGTTTATAACGTCTTTGAAAGCCATGAGGTACACACATAATAATCACTAATGCTATCTTATTAAGATCCTCGAAACCACATGTTAATTTTATTTAAATTAATTGTCAATAGAAATTGAAAGTGCCAGTATAAAAATGTTGTTCACTATGTCCTGTCTATATATTTTTAAATGTTGTATTTAGATAAAAAAAATGACCAAAATGTCGTCAAGTAGTATGTAATCTTTAAAGTTTTTTTTCAGAATTATTGATTGTAAACAGTGTTGTGGGCGATGGCGTACAAATTAGATACGGACAAGAATTGCAGAATATTAGTTTATCTCGAAATAATACAAAATGCGAGATTGACGTTGATATTGATATTGTAAGCTTATTTTTTAGTTTTTTTTAAGCAAATAACATTTAATTTGTCGTTTGCAAATGTACCAACTCGGTAAATTTGTAAAAAAAAAATCTTTAGCTATTAAAACTAAAATGTATTTACTTAGCTAATCAATTGCTCGTTTATTCAGTTGTTTATTTTTTTCAGAGTAACGATGAACCTGGTACTTACAAGTTTAAGACATCAATAAAATTAGACGTGACAGATATGTTTCAGAGTGCCGGTAATTAATTACTTTTAAGTACAAATTTTTGCCCGCGACTTAGAACGTGCTGAATTAAAAAAAATCTTAATAAGTCGCCGATGTATTTTTCTAGACTATTTTTGGCCTTTCTTTCATCGTGACCTCTTAAGCCGATTTGAAAGTACATATGTACAGTCGGGGAAGCAACTTAAAAGTTACATTCATTTGAACATTTTGACGAGACACGGAACAAATGTATGAAAAAAAGTCGGTTAATAATACATAGCTGGTTTCTTTTATTAGAGCTTCGTTTACACTCTCTGCTATGTAATTAGTTATTTGTAGGAAGAGGCGGAGTTTGTCTCGTTGCAATGAATAAGGCAATTCTTCCTGAAGTGGGACACCGCGTATTTCCGCGACTGTACAAATGGAAAAACATTCCATTTGAGCTTTCGCGTTCATAATATTAGTATGAAGTTATGCTAATACTTTATATGAAAAGTTTATCAACTGGCATTTTAGGTCACTTAATTGGACTACCATGAATTTAAGCAAAATATTGGAAAATTGTTCGAAACGAGATTTTAATCTGGTGTACAAGCAAACAATTCGATTTAAAAAAGTAGGATGTCTATTCAATTTTATGATATAAGATATGTGGGATACATTTTTTCAGAATTGAATCCGACGTGGGTGTCAATTTATCCCGAAAATCCTACGTCATCTCTGGACATTGAGCGACGATGTTCAGGAGAGAGTTGCTTACCGCAATTAAATATGGCACTAGAATGGTCTGGAAGGTAAATTATTGTAATTTTGTAAAATATTAGATATTTCAAATAGTTTACCAAGATATTATTAAAAGATATATGTACTAAGGACAGACGAGTTAAAATAGTAACGATTTTACCCTAAAGACTGTAGTTAGATACTGTTTAGTTGAACATGTTTTGCATTTTGGAAACCTATAGCATATTTCAATGTTAATATAATAGATGGGGCATTTTTTAATCGGTGACTTACTATTACTATAGTTTCACTAATCTTTGCATGCTATGTTTTTGTAAAAATAAAAATATATAATAAATTAATTGAATTGTCACCCTAACTTCCGGTAGACTCCGAGCCCCTCAGTGTGGACGTACAGTGAGCTGGTGATGAATAGAATAACCATTATTTGTCTAAATTAGTTCACCATACAAGTTGGGATCTACGAAATCGGAACAATTAACAATGCGGTTCAAGAACCACGGTAACAATTCTTACATACAGACGTGTGTGTATGTGAGTGTCCGCGGCGCGCGCGCGGGACGGAACACTTGCCAAGAACAAGACGGCACGTACAAATGTTTACTGCCATTGCCGATAAAAAGGAATGAAGAGGTAATCTTGCTCTTCTCTCTTTCCTACTCCCGTAGGGCACAACGGGTTTTCCTCCTCCAAATAACTCTATCATCCGTCATCTTAGTCACTCCCTTCTTAATAATTCACTCAATACATCTCTTTCTAGATCTATCTCTACCGGAGTACCTCCACACTCATAACTAACAATCTTTCATACGACAATATTATAAATACGAAAGTTTGGATGGTTGGTAGAGTTTACAGCCTAAACGGCTGAACGGATCTCGATGAAATTTGACACAAATATAGAGCAATCTGGAACACATGCCTTTAATTCCATTCTAGTCACAGGCTAAAACTAGCGTTAAATGTAATTAACTATGATCCAGATTCTATTTTAATTTATCTATTTCTTATCCGATAATTTTGCAGAATTCTTTCTCCTGCTTTTACATTACAATTACAATATAATTCTTTTACACAAATTTTATACAATTTAAATAATGTAAATGTTTCCAGCATATTTTAACAATACCTATAGACATGAGTAGTCCGTCAAATGATTTAAATATATTAGAGGTGGATGTTACGTTCTACAATAGTAGTTGTGTTTTACAAACGGAATATCAAGAGTCGAAGATCATCGTACCTTTAGAGTTGAACACCGAAGACATTGCTGTAAACGGGTATTTATCTTAATAATATTATAAATGCGAAAGTTTAGATGGATGGATGAATGTTTGTTAGAGTTTGTAACCTAAACTGCTAAACGGATCTCGATGAAATTTGGCATAAATATAGAGGATAGTCTGGAGAAAACATAAACTACTCACTTTTGTTTTTTTTTTCACGCGGACGGAGTCGCGGGCGAAAGCTAGTAAAATATATTCTATTATTTAAATTTATTGGCAAAAATACAGAATTCATAGAACTTATTAAAACATAAAAAGGGAAAATAAAGTCAGTTCTCGGCCAAAAAAAGAAAGTTCAGCTGATGCGGCCACCAGCTTAACATAAGGCCGCGTTGGTTTTCAGCCTTCCCTCTCTTTATCCCCACTTTCTATTCTATTTTTTTAAATTACCTAATAAATATTGCTACAATACAACTAAGTTATTGCTGAAATAATTGATATTAAATTATTAATATTAATTAATTATTGTACTGATCATAATTTTGTATTAGAAAAGTCTATTCTTTCTCTCTTGTTTCTTACTATATTTTAAATGCGAAAGTTTAGAAGGATGGATATTTGTTACTGTTTGTAGCCTAAACGGCTGAAAGGATTTCTATAAAATTTGGCATAGATAGAAGATAGTCTGGAAGAGCACTGACAGAGTCCGTCTTAATGTGTGAATTGTAATGAACGTTTTCCAGTGCGTCACGTGATCGAGTAGTGACTGACAGTGACGTACTCGATAAGACAGTGGAAACTTGTGAAAACGCCCACGAATATAAGGTAAATATTGCCTAAAAATTACTATACTCATTTAATTTTTTTCTATGTTAAATTTTAATTAAAATCTATATGTTTAATATCCGTTCTTAAATATTAATATCTTTCAATTAATATATGAATTTATTAGCTCTAAGTATGGTGAGGGAAAAGAAAAATGAATAATTTCTTTTGCAGATTATAAACAATGGCAGCGTATTGTGGAAAAATGTTCGCGCTATTATTAAATGGGAGAATCGAACCTTTATTAAAGAAAGTAAAGTGAGTTGTGATTTCTAATCTCGTTTTTGATTATAATATGTGTTTTTTTTTTAATAATTCTTACTTATCATTTTCAATACAGATTCAGATATTGCAAACTTCTGTAACTACCGGCTGTGTGTTACAAGCCGGTAATGAGGAAATAACACATACGTGTGTGTTTAACTTGGAACCGAATTCGGTATTTAAGATAATTCCAAGCATAGTAATAATGGAAGAAGATGTTGGTTTGTACATAATTATATTACTGATATTATAAATGCGAAAGTTTATATGGATTGTTAGTTTGTAGCCTAAACTACGGATTTCGATGTAATTTGGCAAAAATGTAGATAACAGTCTGGAAGAGCACATAGACTGCTTACTTTTGTTTTTTCTTTTAATTCCACACGGACGGAGTCGTGTGCGGAATCTAGTTATTTTATTAATTAACAGACATCTTGTATAAGATGACTTATGTATGTAATGTAATTTTCAATGGTTATTATTCAGTTTAAAGTCAATGATAATATGAATGAATCTGGAACTTTGTAGATTATTAATCTACAAAGAAAGAGGAAAGGAAACATTATAAAGAGGAAATAATTTTATTTTTACATGTATTTAAATAACTTGAAAAACTACTTGGCCAATTTCAAAAATTCTTTCACCGTTAAAAGGTGACTTATCAAGGAGTAGTATAGGCTAGTTATTTTACCACTTTTTAGAGCCCTGCGGATGATGTCGCGAGCAACAACTTGTTTAGATATGAATTGATTTTTTTTTTCAGAGAAATATCGTGTAGGAGACACACTTAATATATCCTCAAGTTTAGAGTTATATTTGCTTCCTACGGAAATAAAGAAAGAGTTCACGTAAGTTCTAACATTTCTTGTTAATCTCCTTATCATGTTACATAATATCGTCCCCACAACAATAATTAAGTAAATATGGCGCCATACCAAAATAAATCAGGTCTTGTTAAAGTAAAATAAAACCTACTTAATGAGTTTATCGGCTTACTGTAAATGTTTTTTTGATGATAGTTAAAATTGTTGTTTCAGATTAACTACAGTTATAAAATACAACAAAGAATTATCAATTGGACAAAATAAGCCGTTAATAATAACTATAGCTGTGATAGTGGCTTTATTAATATTAGCGGTAGTTATTTATATTCTACGTAAGGTAAGTAAAACATTCTACGACGTTTATATTTATAAAAAAAGCATTTTTTTTTATATAAAATCTCTCAACATGGCATTATGACATCTCTAAAGTAATGTAAATTAATGAAAAACTAAAGAGTAATTACAATTTTTAGATCGGCTTCTTTAATAGGAACACAAAAAAGAAATTAATACAAGAGAAAAGAGAAGATGAATTAAGAAAGAGTGTGGTAAGTGCGCTTTGATTAAAAGTAATTTCTATACATATGAGAATAATATGTGAATTTGGAATATATTAGTTTAAAAAAAGAATTAAGTGCTTACAACAGTTTTCCTAACAGTACTAATTTTAGTTTTGTTTAGTCTTGTTGATATAAGATATAAGTTCTTTTGTTAATGATGGCTTTGCTTTTTTTTGTGTGCGTTATAGAAAAGACCGGCGCCTTCTGGAGCAAATGAAGTCGGTACGAGCTCTGGTAGCACAGGAATAAAAAATGTAAGAAGTCAACACAAAGCAATTGAGTCCTTATGATGTTTTGGGATAAATTATTTTGATTGTTACAATGTACAATTTGTTCCAGAAAGCAATGCAAGCAGAAATACCATTCAAGCCAGAATGTGAAGATATAGACGTTTGTGAAGAAGACAATCTTATCATAACACGGGAAGTTGAAGTTCATTAGAAGATTTATTATATAAACAATAATTAATGTAATTGTTGTCAATCATTTCAAGTCCTTTACATGTTAGTTTAACAAAGAAATACCTTCGAAAAGTACCATTTTTTAAGATAATTGCGTATCACGACCATCCTCGTAAAATTTGACATGGTTAGTTGATGCGGAGAATAGTTTTGCTTTTTACCTACATGTATTATAAGTACATAGTTATATACGGTCATTGAATTAACTATATCCCAAATAATATTATTCTTAGTACAAGATATTCTCTTCAGTCTTCACAAGTCCGATAATTCTCAGCATCGTATCACTTGAATGGAATCCATCAGGATTAATTGAGGGAAGACATGCCAATCTAACTGATCCCTTCAGCGGTGTTACGTTCAAGTCACCGCGTTAACACTTGACTGTACAAGCATGCAAGATATTGGTCAAAAGAAATGCTAGAAAAAAAACACTAACGGCAAAATAATGAAACGAAATTTAATAACGTAACAGCGTTTTAAATGATTAGAACATGATTGAACTCGAAATTCTATTAAAATAAGTAAGCAGCCCTTATAAAGCAGTTTGAGATTCGTTTCAGAATTCGGCTGCAAAACTAATAATAAGACATATCTATTATGTTTTAAGCTATCTAGAAAGAGTTACAAATAACTACCTATAAAAATATATAACTAAATATAAAAATGAAAACTAGAAAACATGGATTCTAAAACATCCGGATTTTGGGTACAAATTTTTATCACGAAAGAGGGAATTTTTATCGTAATGATCCATCACTTGAGGGCATTTCGCGGATCCTTGTTGATTGATGAAATAGCAACTCGTTCCGATGGAAGTAATCTATTCGTTTCGTCGGTTCACTGATTAGATTAAGCTCTCACATGTATTTCGTAAGGTCACTGAGTTCCTTCTCTCAATGTGTCGATGTCACTTTAATTAAGTCTACCCACGGGATGGATATTTGACTTTTTCTTCCGATGGAAACGGACATAGGTTGAAGTTTAATTACGATAAATCAATATGTTTTATTCTTTAGGAGAACTCTGAAAGTCATTAGTCTTAAAATTAAAACTAAAGAAGTGCCGGAGAAGGGGATGTATAGAAAAGAAGAATGTGTCAGGAGGAGAAAATCCTGTCCATTCTCTCCTCTGTCCTATAAGGTTCTCTGTAATGTTAAGGCATCTGCAATTTTCTTATTCATGACCAAGGGTCCGCCTGCTTGTTTCCCACTTTATGCTTTAAAAAGAAACCTTGTACTAAAAAAAGAGCACGTAAAAGAACTGCTATTGTTTATAAACATGGAAGAAAATTGAAAAATAAAGTATGGAACTACTTTAAACCGCTAAAGCGAACATCATTCAGATACCGAAGCGAGTAATGTTGAGAGAATTAGTTCTAACAAACTTTTGCACTTTGTTGCAACCGCAAAATATGAGTTTGCACTCAGTTTTCACCGACATCTCTACCGCAAACGTACATTTTGATGAAGTTTATTTTCCATTAAAAAGCATAGTCAGTGGTTTTGATTGCGCAAATGTAAGAGATTTGTGTACTTTATTAAGTACTAATAAATTCAATCAATAGGTTTGATTACAGAAGAGGTATCTATAGAAGTATCTAACTTACAGTCAGCCAATAGTCTAATTCAAATTTAACATAATTTCCTATTCATAATTTTAATAATATTGTTAGACATTGTCTGTATTTACGACATTTACCAATATTAAAAAGCTAAAGTTTAGATGGATGGATGCATATTTGTTGATGATAATCTGGAAGAAGACATGGACTATTTACTTTTGTTTTTTTAATTCTACGCGGACGGAGACGCGGGCAAAAGGTAGTAAACCATAAAGAAAAAATGCGTAACTTTATCATTATTAACAACTTTTATGTTTGACGCAGTCTATTTACTCTATTCAAATAAAAATCAACAACTTTGATTCAGCTCGGCCGGTCATGTTAGAAATAAAACTAATTAGGTAGATGTTTCCATTTCATCAAAAGACGTCTCGCCTTGAATAAGAAGACTGGGAGATAATTAAATTTGCCTACGCTATAGAACGTCGAGGCAAGATGTTTTACAAACTTAAACAGATGTTCAATGTTTTACAACTACATGCGTTAGGTGACTACAGACAAGTAATGGAACGACATTGCATTAAATTTTTGACATCTGACAGATTTTAAACGGTGCTAACAAAGTCAAGTGTTTCATGTTCGTTTCAGAAATAGGCCTTACGAGATACAATTAGGTTAGTTTTTCATAGTTTTTCTACAATGTTGTAGCTTTTTTTAATAAACCTTACTGTATTAGACATTTAGGCATTCAAGTCAAAATACCTATAGCTTACAAACCTTGTCAGTTACAATCCTTTATGTTACAAAATAAATTATAAACTACTAGTTCGCCGTCGACACCGTCCGCATGGAATTTAAAAAATAGTGTGTTCTTGCAGACTATACTCTACGTCTAGGCTAAACATCGAGATCCATTTAAGCTACAAACTCTAACAAACATCCATCGATCTAAACTTTCTCATTTATAATATTAACTAGCTTTCGCCCGCGACTCCGTCGGCGTGGTATTAAAAAAAAAACAGAAAAGTGAGTAGCCTAAGTTTTCTTCCAGACTATCCTCTACATCTATACCAAATTTCGTCGAAATCCGTACAGCCGTTTAGGCTACAAACTCTAACGAACATCCATCGATCTAAACTTTCGCATTTATAATATTAGTATGATAGCTAGGCAATTAAACAAAATTATTGTTACTGCTAAACAGGCCATGACTCCATGATTATGTGTTAAGGTCGGTATTATAAAGTGTTTATAATGCGGGTACTTAAACTGTTTACTATCACCGTTATCAGATGCTTTGTAACGAACTCGAGTACCAAAGGATCGTTTAGTTTTATTGAACGAATTATTCGAGAAATATTTTTGTCATTAAAAATGAATAGTATATGTAGGGAATAAATTATTAAACCGATCTTGATAAAGTCATAATTAATTTAATTTGCTTTTACATAAATAGGATTATTATATCTCCTTTTTGACCGACTTCCCAAAAGAAGAAGGTACTCAATTCGTCTGAATGTTTTTTTTTTTTATTTTTTTATGTGTTACGGCATAACTCCGCTGCTAGTGGACCGATTTTGATAATTCTATTTTTATCCGAAAGGTGCTTGCACTTGCGTGTACCAGTGCTAAGAAGTTTGTTAAGTATTTTTGAGATTTAATCAACATTTTTTTTGTTGGCATATAAATGCAAGTTTTAAACAAAGAATTCAATTTGCTATATTCACTTGCATATCATACTGGTGTGTAGTGCAGCAAAAATTCTGCGCTGTAGCAATCGACTAAACGGTCCATGCGCTTGAAATTTTAGGAATTTTGTAATCAGAAGAGGGTCCTATATATACACGTGCGAATTATTTTTGCAATTAAACCTGATTGCACGATACAAAGAAGAAAGTTTTCAACATGAAAAAAATATCATTTTGTGTTTTAATTTTTGTGAATTTTCTATTCGTTTCCGCTAATGTTTCGGGGTATAGGAGTTACAAGAATTATAAATGTTTTAACGTTCAAGGTGATAGATTAAGAATAGAACGATTACGACATGCGTTACAGGAAAGTGATGTAAGTATTCATATTTCTTCATTATCAGATGTTAAACGTCACCTGAGGGGCTCGGATCCTACCTTAGGGGTGACTGGACTCAATCACGCTGTACTGCGGATTTACTTCACACTTTATTAATTAGTTAATGTTAGTATCCAAACATTTGTTATCATGTTACCTTCAAATGATAAAAAAGTGACGCTGTGTTTTTGAACAGATTTTTCTGAAAACTGGCCATTACTTCATAACGTATTTTGGAGCTATTTAACAATAAATTGTTTCAGGAGACTCTCACTTACGCCGACACTAGAGACGGCGGTGAATTTATCGTGGCGCCTCATTTAGAAGATTTATTCAACAAAATAGTCACACAAGAAAATCTGAAGACTACAGTGGTCTATGATGATATATCTAAGTAAGAGTTATGTTCTATAATTTAAGATTTAAGAACAATAATTGTAATTTCATAGACGTAATAAAAAAAACTTCAATTGCTAAAGCAATTTATTGTTTTAGTTAGAAACTGTGAAGCTAATGAACATACTTGAAAAAGTATGACAAATTTTATTAAGGCAGTATGTTAATTAATATCTAAGTATTTTTACAGAATAATACAATCAGAAAAATCTCTTCTACGGGGTAGTAAAGAGTTTTCATGGACTGCATATTATGACATAGACGATGTAAGTTTAATATTTAACAATTTAATTGCCACTCAGAGTCGTTGAAGTTACAAAGACCGTTAGTGTAAACTTAGTATTAGAAGTGTACACTAAGGAACTCTCAATGCGGTTATGGACGCCTCTGAGTAAAACAGCTGCCCAAGAGATAAGTTATTCTTTCTTATTTTTCAGATATATAAATACTTGACCAATATGAGTAAATCTTATCCGAATTTGTCTGAGCTAATTGTCGGAGGCAAAACGTATCAGGGTCGGTCCATATTAGGACTTCGTATCAACACACCTTCACAAGAATGTACACCGAAACCTGTTATATTTATTGAGTCAGGTAAAAATTTTAATATCAATCATATCAAATTAATAATTCAATTTCCAAGTCTCTATAATTGTCACAAAAAAAAAATACTTGGGATTTTCAAATGTTTGTAATGGGAATGGCTGCGATTGAGACTCGGCAAGAGGAAAGATTTGGTTTTTTGTATGTATTGCAATAACTCAAAAACTACTGGACCGTCGTCAAAAAACCTTTTACTATTAAAAAGCTATGCTATTAATAACAGGCTATATTTTTTATTTATTTTTAATTTTCCGCGGGTGAAGTCGCGAACAACAGCTATTTTATAATCTTTATGGGATCGATTGTGACAGAAAATTTTAAAGTTTAAAAAAAATAAGTAAAGATGTAAATATTTCAGGGATTCACGCTAGAGAATGGATAGCACCTGCGACCACTACGTACTTTATTAAGGAGTTGTTAACAAGCAAGGATGCGAACATAACAGCACTGAGGGATCAGTTCGATTGGCGTATCTTCCCATCTGTAAATCCGGACGGTTATCACTACAGTTATACCGTGGTATGCATTTATTTACATTAATTAATTTAATTCCAAATGATTTTTATGTTTAAACCTTAACTTATATTGCAAGCGTGAAGCAACCTTATTGCATTTTTAAGTAAATGCTAGCAGAAGAAGTTTCATACATTTTTTCTTGTAAACCTTTGGCTTGTGTTGTTTCGCAATAGTCGTGTAGGAATCGAAACCAATCGTCGTTATGGTTAGTTCGTACTCCCTACTTGGTTCCTGGCAGTGCAGTTTCCATTAGGAAGGGGACTTTATTCAGCAAGATGAATACTATAGGCAGTTTTCTTGTTCGACTATTGACAACAATTGGATACCCTCCAACATTATAAAGCCTCTCCACGTACACACTTGTTGAATTCTTGTCACGTTCGGCATAAAAGTTAGATTCAGCGATAATATACATGTATATCTATCCCTTTATATTTTGGATAGAATTTGAAAGTTAACATCAAAAAGTGTATATAACAAAATTGATTATAATTTATGTCTATTTTCATATAGTTGACAATCGGATTTTTAACAATTATGAGTTTTTTTAGGACCGACTTTGGCGAAAGACATTATCAAGATCTACTAACAGATGCTTCGGTGCTGATCCGAACAGGAATTGGAATTACAATTGGGGACGTAAGTATTATCTTGCTAGTTTAAACCAAGCTAAAGTGCTTGGTTTATGGTTATGGTTTCTTTATACGGTTAATAAGTTAAAAAAAATCTATCTTACTAATATTATAAATGCGAATGTTTAGATGGATGGACGGATGTAAGGGTATTTGTTAGAGTTTGTAGCTTAAACAGCTTAACGGATTTCGATGAAATTTAATATAGATGTAGAGGATAGTCTGGAAGAACACATAGACTACTCACTTTTGTTTTAAAACCACGCGGCTTAGTCGCGGGTAAAGTTAGTAATTTATATTTATTAATATAACTATATTTTGTTGTAACAAGAGAAACGTTCTGTGTCTGATCGAGAATACTGCACTAAACACTTATTTTCAATTATGTAAATTTCTTGTCAAATATAACATGCTAAATCAAATCAATCTAAACATCTAATATCCAGAGTACTCATCAACGCACAATCCCTGCGACTATCAGACGTATGCGGGTTCTCGTCCGTTCTCTGAGATAGAAACACGTACCCTAGCGGCCTACATACAGAGCATCGACAACATGATGGCCTACATCAGCTTCCATTCGTACGCCGCCATGCTTCTACTGCCGTACTCTGATTCTACACAACATGTGCACAATTACGACGACTTGGTATGTTAGTCTGTTTTACGTGATAAAGTATGAAAAATATAAAAGCCATTGTGTATAAAGGTAGAGTAGACGACATTTTAATTAGAACATTAACAGAAGAGTAAATCAAATAGGAGTTCTGTGTATTTCTATCACTATAGTGACACTAATGGCTGGTTTCCGAGATACGTTTAACTATTTATAGTGTTTTAATTCAATAAGTTCACGAATTCCGTTTCCGAATTACGTAACTTGAGTTTTGCTAATGCATCAATAGGTGACAAAATAAATCGAAACATCAGAACCCAGCATAAGTGAACAGAGGTTTTGTTTGTCGTAACTTATCTAGCTCGTATTTTCTTTGTCACATAAGAGGTTTTAAAATAAAATCGTTTATAAACATAGGTATTTAGTTGTATAATAATAGGTTAATTTCAAATTGCATATATTTATTACTATATTTTCAGGTTAAAGTTGGTAAATCATCGCTTGATTACGGTTACAAAGTTAACCAAGATAAAAGATATCAGGGGCCGGGAACTGCCGCTGAAATACTCTGTAAGTTAAACTTCCATACTATTTCAACTATGAAACTAACCACAACTACACTCCACACGAAATGTTCAAATGTAATTTATGAAGCATTATATGATATCAAAATTTTAGTAGGTTTAATTTCATCGCTCGCTATTGTACATGCTCACTATTTCTCTAGTGGACTTGAACCACTAATCATACTTCATACTAATATTATAAATGCGAAAGTTTAGATGGATGGATGGATAGATGGATGGATGGATAGATGGATGGATCGATGGATGGATGTCTGTTAGAGTTTGTAGCCTAAACGGCTGAATGGATTTCGATGAAATTTGGCATAGATGTAGAGGATAGTCTGAAAGAACACATAGGCTGTTCACTTTTGTTTTTTTTTAATTCCACGCAGACGGAGTCGCGGGCGAAAGCTAATATGCTATATAATGTGCAAATTAAAGACCTATTTGGTGGCATGTAATATGATACACTTTTTTTTCAAATCTATCGGCTGAGGGTCCACGATCGTTAAAAAAAAAATTGGGAGTCCATGAAATTTTCAACTAGTTTCAAACATTAAAAGCACAGCCTTAGATGCGTTTGTGAGAACCAACAAAATGTAAAAATTAACAAAACGCTTAATAAATCCTACTCCATTCGTTTGTAAAACTTTGAAAGAGGCCCACGAAAAAGTGTTTTGGGTATTACGGATATAGTGTTTTGTTACATTTCTCAGAATAAAAGAAATATCTAGGAAATTATGTATTGTGCCTTCTTTAAGATAGAGAGTTTATACATTAGACATTACTTCTTACAGACAAAGCGTCAGGTGGAAGTATGGATTGGGTACGTCATGCTTTAGGGACTCCTCTAGTGTTCACATACGAGCTGCGAGGAAACTCCTTCCACTGGCCTCCCTCCAGGATACAAGAACAAGGAGATGAGGTGACACAAATGATGCTAGGACTGGTGACGGAGGCGAATAAACTGGGATATTACTGATGGCATTATTTAAGTAATATGTTTTGTTAATAAAGTTAATAGAAATAATTCTTTATTTCATATTCCAGTTAAATTGTGAAGTCAAATAATTTGCATCAATACGCAAATAATATTAACAGAAATTTGAATGAAAAAGTAAAGCAAAGATAAGGCAAATAACCGACAAATAATAGAGTAAAAGCAAAAATACAAAACCACAATTTAATTTTTTTAGATACGCAAAAAATATAAAAGAACAGTCAAATGCTCGTTATAGAACGTACGTAAATTCGAGTCAGTGTTCTAAGATAATATTTTTTCGCTTTTCAGAAGAAAAAACCTTTTCTTCTGACGCGAATAAAAACGTTATTTAAATAATAAACCCCTTTAACTTTTTTTTGTGTGCGTCAAAGTATGCAATGAGGCGTGAGCAATCTACAGTAACGGCTGCGACGTAGTCTGCTTAATTTGAGGGAGGGGAATAAGTCGTGACTTCTTTTTACCATATTTTTATATTTTTGATAACAGATGGGAACGCGTGGTACATGTTATGCGACGAGACGATGACCACTTAAACCAGAAAGTGTTAAGATTGAATGTGGATGGCTACAAAGGTAGAGGAAGACCGAAGACAGTATGGATGGATTGTGTGAAAGGGGATACGCTTAAGAAAGGAGTGAATTCAGATATGACGACTGATAGAGATGTATGGAGGAGCAGCACATACTGTGCCGTCCATCCGCAAGGGATAGGGGCAAGTGGATGATGATGATGATAACAGATATAGAAATATAACTAACAGCAGAATACTTAAACGAATCGTAAAGACTTCGCTTCGAAAGCGCTGCCCTTTGATTGAATTTTACATTTTTAAACCGAACAATTTGATAAAATTTATTATTCCTATGCTTTGGATATACATGTTACCAAATGCGTACGTAACCCTTTCCAGGTTAAAAGTCCGTGAAAGCTTAATATCTAAAACATTCTTTTATTACGTATATTCAAGCAAAAGAAAATGTTTAATGAGTTTCTTTCAGTTCACAGCACAATATTGGAAAAAATCTCGCTACAAAGAATTTCTTTTGAGATATCTTTAAGGTAATTTCGTTGGAGACTGGTCGGATATTATAAAAGATATTAATAAGGTTCATGGGCGTCGTGAGATGGGGTAGCAGCCTCTCCCCATTTATAATTAAATAAAATAATAATTATTTAAGCAGCGAAATGCAGAATTTATATCAAAAGTAGTGTTTTACACTGCAGTCTGCATCGTAAAACAGTATTTTCTACTTTACTTTCTTGATTTTACTTAGTATTACATGTATGTTAACATTACACATCTTTCTACATCATAAATAAAGCGTCGTAAAATAAGCAGGAATTACATCTTATGATAATATATTTTCGTATATCCAATCTTAATTATACGTAATTTTATAGTTAACCACAACACACATTGGCGAAGTTAAAGTTAGCATAAATATGTTTTCTAAACGTAAGTCTACAATTAAATTAATTCGTTGTTTGTTTTCTAATTTTCTGGAAAGCTAAAAAGAACAATGAAGACTTAAAATGCGATTTAAGGAGTCGCGCCGAAGTAATCTAACTTGTTTTTGAAGCAATATGTGAATGAACTACGCCGTGTTTTAAGTCAATGTGATACTTGTCGTTTGTGAACAAGGGCATAAAACAATCGGTCTAGACTTTACTAACATTAGCACTTTTTACAAAAACTGTAAGGGCCTCTCCTATCACTGGCTGATAGAGGTTCAGATAGCTTAAAAATGACGTCATTGGTATATTGTATACGTATAAGGTAACAAAATATGATATTTTCATGACATATTTTACACTTTGGATTGGTATTGACAATTTACAATTTGGTGGGAGAGGCCCTAAATATTTTTTCTTGAATTAAGGGTAGTCAACGCATCTGCAACTGCGGAAGTCTATGGGCAGCGGTCACTTCGCCATTTCAGCGGATTCAGGTTGCTGCTTGTTCGTTTGCCATCTTAAAATATAAAAACCTAAATAAAAAAGAACATAAATTTTAAGTTCACAAGAAGTCTTCAATATCCGAAAAGATATGTTAAATTGTTAACAATTTATTAAAGTTACAATTTACTGCCAAGTTGTAACTATTAGGAAGATTATCATCTGACTATGTTCACAACAAAGCAGTGACATTAAATTTGATTATAACTTGTGCGTTAGAACTGTATTGTTCTGTTTAACAATGTTTAAACAATTGTTTACCGACATCGCCATCTTGAATTTGATCAATGTTATAGCGTCTCAGTACAAACAACTAAAGTATTCTAATTGGAATACTTAATGAATAGTATTATTATAATAGATTTTGGTTAATTAATTTTCTTTCAGTTTCGTTAATAATTTTACCACAAAATGTGTAAGAATATATCGTCTTTTATAGATTTAGTTTGGATCAATTTTCTTATCCGTTTTACTTAATTCTCCATTTTGGCAACGTCTCAGTTATAACATAGATATTGAATACTTCATTATTTAGTTATATTTAAAATGAAATAAAGTCAAACTAAGTAAATAGGTAACTTAGTAATTGTCATCAAATGTTAACGGCATTTTAGTATAAAAACGCCGAGACAAAAATAGTTATAACACGAAAATGTAGACTGCAGAGTAGATATGTATTCACTGTGCCGCATTTTAGTTTTTAAAATATTAAAATATTACGTGAATCGTTCTCGTATATTCACACGTTTATGTTGAAAAAAAAAGAGACTCGTTAGTCTGAATATACCGATTACGAGATCCTAAATTTCAAAAGAAAGCATTTTCTTCTTTAGAAAAAGAGATTTATCTTATCTTATCCTAAGAAAAGACATTTATAATCGGGTAAATTGACTAAGGTTGTGGAATTCAATAACGATACTTGTATAAGAAAAATAAGACACAATGTTATAAAAAGTCGTTACGGGGTAGTCGATAACATTTTAGGATTCAGTTCATTCACAGTAAAAACAATATCAAACGAATGAAGTTATAGACATTTGTAAGGTAACAGCCGTGCGTGGCATTCGATATAAAACTGCGTATTGTAGGTAACTGCCTATTGCAGAATGTAAGGGAGCATTCCAATCCACACGTGTTGGAAGTGTTATGGCTTACTTCAGAATGCCTATCGCTTTTTCTTGTGACACATTTAATACTGTGTTTTTCGTATTGTTGACATTGTTTTCGTTTTGTCTGTGTTTTGTTTGTTGCAAAGGAGAAAAAATTACTGCACCTTTTCTATATAATTATTTTATATATCATTTTTTAAAATATGTATAAATCCACGTCCTGAAAGATCGCATTTTGTGTTGTACGTTTTCTTCATACAATTTGCAGATGCATTCGCTAGATGGCGCTAAATGGATCAAAGTATAACAAGTATTAAAGCGTCATCCCAAATTTGAAGTAATGTGTGCCTATAATTTTCGAGTAAGTTCTAAAAACAGTAGTTAGTTTAATTAATGATGATTCCATGGAAATAAAAACATACTAAAAGTGCTTTAAAAATAAATTTCTACTCTAAATGTTTCAGCACATAGATCAGCTATAATGATTTCACTGGGAAACAAAGTAGGTTATGAAAACAAAGAGAAGACATTTTTGGGACGATATCTCTTGTTGAGAATACACAGAGCACGTTTCAAAGTGCTTATTGTGGATATATAACAAGAAATACGAGAACTACGTATGTTGAGGCCGTTGCGAAAGACGTTTCCGAACTCATTCCTAGTCGTTTGTCAAGAAAATGACTTTTGTTTTTGTTCAAATATTGATAAATGCTAAGCGGGTGCACACCTTCGACTGAACTATTGCACAACTGTTATGCGATTGTCGATTGTTTCACAGCCAATTAAACTATTTTGTTGCACAACTAAAAATAGTGTACGCACCTCCATATAACCTCATAAGAATCAAAGGGCGAACTCATATTTTTAAACAGTTGGACTGATCTCGATGAAATTTGGCACAGATGTAGAACATAGTCTGGTTCTCCCAGGTTAATATTTTTTTTAATACAACGAGGTCGAAGACGCGTGCAAAAGCTAACCTATAAGTTAGGAAAGAACTCTTCAAGTATCAATAATGTAATAAAATGTACGTGCTAAACAAGGAAACATCCGCTTATCTCATTTAAGACTTTCAGCTCGTGAGAATAGCTTTTTTTTGTTCCAGATTTGTTCGCTTTCTTAATGGTAGTTGGATATAGATTAAACACGTCAGTTTTGTAGCAAAAATCTTTTTATAAAATGAAATAGGTTAACATATTTTTTAACTTATACGTGTTGTAACTGTACGTAAGCTAGAAGTTCAGTTTTTTTTTATGTATATTTAGTTAAAATCTCTTTAAACATAATAAAATCATTTCAATGTAGAAACATTAAAATTGTGTTTAATTTTGAATTTGAGAATTGGGGTAAACGGAGTCTGGAATGAACTTCGTCTTGCAATTTCCATTTTAACGTTTTCAACTTTAGTGTTGCAACTTTAAGCTTTTAGCTTGTTTCTGTTCCTTTTTAGATAGATTTACATTTTCATTTTATTGGAATAGCTTCGCAAATACCGAACACTAAGTTTGCACTTCGAAACACATAAAACTGTTGACATCTCTTTCTTTCTCTTTGAAATAGACAGATATTAAAATATGTTTCTGTATTCTCATAAACATATGTTACAAATTTGTATTAGTAGTGGTAACAACATAATCTTGTATGAAAAAAAGTTGAAGGAAAATTGTGTAGTTTTATTTCTTTTCTAGCTGTTCCTGTGCGGCTTCATCCGCATGGAATTATAAAAACTTTATTTTATTGTTTACATTTCTTAAATTATCAATTGCAAATGACTAAATGACATGATGACAAACCATGACAATCTTTCTCCTTTGATGTTGGCAGCTTGTAGATTAATGGTCTCTTTCCCACATTATGGTGTTTTTCCAATTTAATTATCCACCAAGTTTAGTAGCGTGAAAATATATAGCCTAAAGCGTGACGTAAGTGTATAGTTTTTTATTAAAGAAAGAATTACTCAAAAATATGCTGCGATTGCTGACATCTTACGCCACAAAGTAGTGTATGTTTACGCTTTATTATATTAACTAGTATAGATTATTACGCTTATTTTGATTTGAAAATATTTCCTACATTTGAATATTTTGAATAATTACAGTTGTAAGAATAAGTTGCCGGTATCTTAATAGACATTTAATTAAATCTACGTTTTACCTGACTTTTGTAATTTATCATTTCGGGATCCTCTAATTTGATAAATGAATTTATTAACATTATCTTTACACAAATCTTAATTTATATTTATATCTTAATTTCAATAAGTCTATTCATAAGAAACGAGCCGTCGTTTTCAAATTAGCGTAAAAGAAATTCACGGAGGCGACGTGCTTTTGAATATTGTGTCGCGGACTGGAAGAAAATCTTTACGAGAGTTTTTTTGTATTTACGCTTACATAATAAGGTAAAAAGTAATATTCTTTTATTTTATAAAGCGATGAAATTTGATAAATAAGAAATAAATATTGCTCAAGTATTGAAAAACGATTACCAATATTTTTATTCTAATGGAAAAAGGTAAAGAAACTATATTTTACAGATACTAACTAGCACTTTCTAAGAAAGTTAGGAAAATATTAGTAAGCATGCTGTTAGGGTTTATTTGCAGTGAAATATTTGCGTCAATGTTCATTTTTAAAGTACTAACTAGCGACAACGTGCAAATACAATATGACAGTGGTAGTGCCCGCTTTAACATCTTTAGCACGCCCGGTGTAATACCACGACCACACAGAAGACAGGCGTGAAATGGAACCAATGCCGTGTATCGCCTGATGAGTGTGGTGCCGGAGGCCTAATTTAAGTCCCTTTCTCTTTACCACCCTTTTCTTATGAGAGGATGGGAAGGGGAAGTGTATTTGACGATGGAGGAGATGCATAGGAAGAGGAAATATCCTCTTTATGTGCGTCTCCTCCTCCGTCGGATAAGGGTAGGCGACGCATCTGCAATTGCAGATGTCTATGGGCAGCGGTCGCTTCGCCATTTTGGCGGATTCAGGTGGCCGCTTGCTCGTTTGCCATCTTATGTTATAAAAAAAAATGACGTTCAACTCTGTACTAAAGATTTTTGGTCTGTTGTATGTATGTTGGATCTTAGGTCGACCTTACAATCGTAATATCAGACTTCAGATGATTATTGTCAAGAGATAAGAGATCAATATTTTGTAATTAAAGTCTCTTTTGAAAATAATTTATAGTTTCTTTAATTGATTCGGATGGGTTGTGTACATTACGTAATGGATTGCATCAGTACGACCTCATCAATTCAATTGGTAAGTCTATTTGTTAATCCTGATGGATGGATGCACAATGTTAGATAAATAATACAATTAAATCGATGTTACGATCGTGTTTAATTGCTATGATTTTTGTTTCGTTCTGTTCTAACTTAGGGACGCCTTTAGTGTTGATTTCATATATCTACAATTAGGGATTATGTTACCATTTAAATAAGTGGTGTTAAGTGTTTATTTACATAGATAATGTCAAACAAGTATAAGCAGTAATGGACATTGAAATAGTTAAAGATACAGTAATGGGAAATGCTCGTATGAACCACTTATGCGCATATTTAAAACCGCACTATTTTACATAGAATCCGTAAAAATAAAGAATTATTTACACAGCTACATTTTTATATTTCTATTAAAGTACTAAGATATTGTTATAAATTTCGATACGAATGACTAAAAAAAAATATGACAGTCGAGCGGTAATATGAGCAATACTGGTGAATTATTATAAAACAAATACACTAAGGCAACTACGTAAAAGATATCGAACGTTGTGTGGTGACGACTAGAAATGAACTGAGTTCCTGAGCTCCTGAAGGAACTGAGGTACTGACGGCTAGAGAGCTTGTTAGCGACTGAGAGACTAAAGGGGCGCCTCATTCCTTGCAAAGACTTATACGAAACTACCCCCCACTACTACTTCCGTTTCTATTATTTTGTAACAATATTAGAAATACAGAAAATATTGTTGATAATGTAAGATAATATACTAACAAAACTATCGAAAAGCAACGCAAATAAATTGCATTTAATTCAATAATGCAGCAAAACAGATAAAAAACAATTTGCAAAAATACTTCAATACTTTTTACTTGTCAAGTATTTAAAATATTTTTTTTTGTATTAATTTAGTTAGTTCGTTTTTGTTTTTGTCTGCCAATCTGTGCACTGCCTTAACCGTAATAAAATAGTCACTCAAATGACAGTACAACCAACATATGTAAGAGTATTGTAATTAGTTAAACGCTATTTAAAACATTCCTTCTTGTAGTTACCGCTTCAAAGTTTATATGCCTATTGAGCAGGCCGTGTCCTTAACTATGAAGTATTATCTACTTTTGTTTTTTACAGCACTTGTATGTGTTGCGTCCGAAATTGTCGATAATTACAAATCTTACAAAGATTATAAATATTACGAAGTGCATGGTACTCAACACGGTATAAAAAGATTAACAGAGGCCCTGAAGAAAAATGATGTAAATGCAATTTTCAGTTTTTTTTTTTGTTGATGTCTCAAAAATTAATACGTTTAATTTTTAGGCTTCTCTAGTCTACAGCAGTAGTAAAGATGTTGCAGAATTTGTTATTGCTCCATCTTTAGTATCATTTTTTATGAAAATAGTAACTGAAGAAAATTTAATGTACAATATCTTGTATGAAGACATATCAAAGTAAGTAAATATTGCAGTTTGTTAAATTTAGCTATTGGTATAAAATAACTATTATTATTTTAGTATTAAGTAATTTGAATACTTACAGTTTTTTGATACGAAACTTTTTTTTTCTTTTAGTATAATTCAATTGGAAAGATCAATACTTCCCGGGAAAGGAGATTTTTCATGGACATCGTATTACGATATTGATGATGTTAGTTGTACTTATTAAAAATAATATTTTTTTTTCACACAATACATTAAAAACATCACAAGCAAAAAGATATTTAAAAGACACTAAAATGTAATCCACGATTTAATTTATTTATTGGAAATTCATAAAACAAGAATTACCATTGCATTTGGTTAACATTTCTTCATACTGTACAGATTAACGACTACTTGACAAATATGAGCAAGACATATCCAAGCTGGTCGGAGCTAATAGCCGGAGGTCAAAGTTATCAGGGTCGGACTATATTAGGTCTGCGGATCAATACTTCACAACGGAATGCTCCTAAACCTGTTGTCTTCATTGAATCTGGTATATTTTAATACTACCCTAAAAATTAAGTAAGCCTTAAAGAAGAGGTGGAAAGGATTTGTTTATTTACGAACTTTTTTTCAGGCATAAGTGCAAATAAAATAACACGACATGACATTCATGAGTCCGAAAACATTAAGGTAGAATCGTCTAGAATGTTAGATTTCATTTGTCATGTGTTTGTTCTTTTAAATGAGTTAATTCAAATCTATTTACCCATAAAATAATATAAATATTATAGGGATATAATGCTAATTATTTTTTTCATCAGGCATACATGCGAGAGAATGGATCGCCCCGGCGACGACGACGTACTTCATCAATGAACTACTAACGAGCAATGACTCGAACATAACGCATATCAGAGATCAGTTCGACTGGCGTATCTTTCCCTCGTGTAATCCTGATGGATACCATCACAGCTATACTGTGGTAATTTTTTTATTCGTGTAAGAATTAAGAATTGCAATATTATTGACCATGAGTTGTGCATAAATGCAGACCACAGTTACTAGTTCCGACATTATGACCATCAAAGAATACAGTTTTAGTAAATCGACTGTTCTTTAAGTTGGAAGAATATTTAAAAAAAAAGTGAGATGGATCGTCGTGAATCTATTGTAGTAACATTTTCTATTATATTTTCTGCTAATTCAAACAGGATAGATTTTGGAGGAAAACCTTATCAAAGTCATCCAACAGATGTATTGGTGCTGATCCTAACAGGAACTGGGATTACAATTGGGGACGTAAGTTATACAACACCAGAATTAAAAACGCTTAAATCACGATTTCTTTTAAACGATGAAAATCAAAAATAGTCATATTAATTTTTGTATTAGTTCAAAGCAGAATAAAAGTAAGTAAGTTTTTAGTTGGCATACTTTGTTATCCGCCTGCAAAACAAAACATTGACCACTATATTTTCACTTCTAGAAGAGTCTTCATCAGATGATCCCTGCGATTACCAAATATACGCTGGAACGAAGCCATTTTCAGAAATAGAAACAAGATCTTTGTCGTCCTATATAAAGGGCATAGACAACTTGCTGGCGTATATAAGCCTCCATTCAAACGCCGAGATATTATTAGTACCGTACTCCGATTCCAATCAACATATCGATAATTATGATGACTTGGTAAGTACAAACATAAAATAATGTAACTTACGCAACAGTAAAATTCTAATAAACAAAATTTTTATAGGTCAAAATTGGTAATGTATCTCTTGATTATGGACACGAAAAAAGCAAACAGAAAAGATACCGCGGACCAGCGACTGCCGCGGAAATTCTTTGTAAGTATTCTCGGATATTTCATATCAATAATAATATTTTTTCCGAACATTATTAGCTTGTGTATGTGATTGATGTTTATTTATTAGCTCTTCTTTAAAACTCCGACTTTCGCAGTTACTTACTTTTACGTAGGGACCGTCGATCTATTTTATTTGTCATTTTTCAGATAAAGCATCTGGCGGAAGCATGGATTGGGTCCGGAGTGTTCTAAACGTTCCTTTAGTTTATACATACGAGCTACGGGGGAGGTTATTTTATTGGTCACCTGAAAAGATTCCAGAGCAAGGGGATGAAGTGACGCAAATGTTGCTAGGACTCATGACAGAGGCCTGTAAATTTGGATATTGCTGACTTTTTAATGGTTTTTATGTTTTTATTAACAATTTATTTAATTAAATACGTGATTTATTGGCATTAATTTTACTGTAAAAGCATACTTATTAATGATTTTTCTTCCGAAGTAAGTAAATATTATGAATGTGAAAGTTTAGATGGATGGATGGATGTTTGTTAGAGTTTGTAGCCTAAACGGCTGAAAGGATCTTTATGAAATTTGGCGTAGATGTAGAGAATAGTCTGGAAATACACATAGGCTACTTGCTTTTGTTTTTTTTTTAAATTCCACCCGGACGGATTCGTGGGCGAAAGCTAGAATGAACATAAATGATTTATGTTTAAACAATAATTTTTTTGTAAAAGTTAAAATATGAAAATCACTTGTAATATTAAAGTTTATCATTGAAGCAGAATTCTAAAAGTAAGTAAATAATTTTCTAAATAGCTAACTCGGTTTTAAATTGTGAGCTAGAACGATGGTCAAAGTTTAGTTAGTGCCACAACTTTGTTAGGTGAGTTTTCCCTGCAAGACGAAACCGCATTTAGTCGTTGTGACAAAGGTAATTTAGAAACACTGACAACCTATTTATCTTTGCTGTAACTCGCTCGTTCTGTTAGTAAAACTATAAAACTAAATCGATAAATCATTGATTATTAACCGATTTCATAAATGAGGTTATAAAATTTACTATTTTTTAATATCTCGACTTCTCATTTAGCATGACATCTATCTTTCCAACGGTTATAATACTGAAACGACATTTAAATATGTAACAGCTAACAGCTTCTTAACTGATAAGGCAAGCTTAAACTGTACATTCCATAAAAAATGACATACACATTACTAGCGCGCACACCTTTGTTCAAACTATCGCATAACTGTTGCGTTTTGTTTCCTATGAGCTTATATGGAGGTGCGCACACTACTCGATTTTTAATTGTGCAGCTAAATAGTTGGATTGGTGGCGAAACAATCGACAGTCGCACAGCTGTTCCAAGTGTAGTTTGCGAAACGAAGTATTAAAATATCTTTTTAGAATTCGAAAATGTTCATTAATGTAGGAAAAAATCTGATAATTTAATAATATAATACCGATGTCAATATTATTATTATCAAAGAGAAGTTTTTTAGGTCTCGCGAAATTACGTTTATCTTGACAGAATTTAATGAATATGCGATGATTCTTTTCGTTGTTATGGAGCCTTTTCTTGGAGATATGATTTTAAATTTGCACAAAATAATTCTATCTTTTGTTTGCTGTTTGCTGTCAACAGATATCATGTTTTGGTGTTGATAATAAAAATAGGTCACCGTTTTTTATTACATCTTCGATATTTTTCCGTCATTGCGTACAAAAATGCTTTGGCGATATTACTTGGCTTATGTCGTATATTAACATTAAAATACGTAAGTCTTAAATAAGATCACGTTTAATTCATTTGAAATTATTACGTTTGTCTGATTGTAAGCGGCAACTTAAAGCGGGCAACTGTTGTGCGATTGTCGATTGTTTCGAAGCCAAATCAACTGTTTAGTTGCACAACTAAGAATTGACTATTGTGCGCAGTCAAAACGAGACAAAACAGTTGCGATAGTTTAGTGAAATATGTGGGCGTGCTCTTAAGAAGCGAAGTTAAATTTTGTTTCAATATTCAGCTGTTACTTGACGATCAGAAGAACCTTTTTGAAAGTACATGAATTACTTCGCGATCCAAGACGTCGGGATATTTACGTTAAACTCATAAAACAACTTATCATTCTGTAAATTGATTTTGTACAGAAAACATTTCATACGTCCTGTAAACATTTGCCTCCCTTTAAGCAATCAAGTTGCATTATTAAAAAGCGTCGCTAAGGCGAGCGGGACCGTAGACTTGAGGCGCGTCATCAACTTGCCACTTTAAAGCAAGTTAAATTAGTTTCCCCTAGCTGAGTCACTCGCTCAATTTTGTACATAAACTATGTTTTTAATTGAAATAAAAATCCGCTATAGAGTACGTCAGTGGCTTAGGGATGCTTAACTTGTTATCTACATGTCTTAGGTTCGAATCCCGCCATGTACCAATGTGATTTTCGATTTTCATATGTACATAATTTCTTCGTTATTACGGTGAAGGCAAACGTTGTGTTGCAACCTGCATATATCGGAGAAGTAATTCAAATATATATGCGAAGTCAACCAATCCGCACTTGACCAGCGTGGTTAACTATGGTCTAGTCGTAGACTTAGGGTAGACTTCGAGCCTTTTAGTGCGGAAGTATTGTGAGCTGGTGATGGAAAATCTTTTATGTTACAAACTTTATAGGTTCCTTTATATTTTTGCTATTACTTTGGTTCAACTGTGATTATATTTTTGAACTTTTTTCTGTAAAATAGGGTCTGATTTTTACTTTTAATTAGCCCTCGCCCCCGACTTTGGGTGTAATAAAAACAAAAGAAAATAGGCTATGTGTTCTTTCAGACTATGCTCTACATCTATGCCAAACATTTAGCAGTGTATGTGACAAACCTTAACAAACATCCATCCATCTAAACTTTCGCATTTATAATATTAGTAAGATGTAACAGAGCTAATTAAAGTAACAAAATCTTACGACAAGAAAAAACATTTTCCGAATTGTTTCTTGCGATTCCAGAAGTAAAACAAGTAAATTTTAAAGGAAATATTTTGAAAAATCATGTACATGTTCACTCGCGTATTCCTGGGAGAAATCATGCTTTCGGCAAATATCCGATACTTCATTTGATAGAGAAAAGGATGAAATACATGTAGATGGAACCAAAAACACATTTACCTGGCATCTCATGTCTCTTGGTAGAACGCATTAAGTAAATGGAAAATAATGGCTATACTATATCGTATAACTTAAGTCTGAATATCTGATTCAGTTATGTAAATTCCCAATATAACAATAGCATATCTATACTTCTATACTAATATTATAAAGAGGAAAACTTTGTTTTTTTGTAATGAATAGGCTCATAACTACTGGGCCGATTTTAAAAATTCTATCACCGTCAGAAAGGTAATTTATCTGTAACATAGTCTGCATTTTTCATTACTTTTTTTTATTTTAAGTTCCTCGCGGACGGAGTCGCGGGAAAAAGCTAGTGTAATATAAACGGTTAACGACAACAGCGACAAAGGCGATTTTCCTTTGTAATCTTAATGATGTTAAGAACAAAGGAATCACGAATTTTTTATCCTAAAACCGAACCGCTTTCGAACAAACGAACTCTGACATTTCCTTTTTAATCATTCTTAATGTTTCCAAGAGTGTTTATTATTATGTAAATGTAAGCCACTTATCGCTAAGAGGCAGAAACAATTTTCTACCCGACAATTTCACCGCTCAGGGATGATTCTGTATAATCTGGCCTCGTTACTGACTGTTACAACTTCATTCCATTTGTTATATGACTTGAACTTATCGCCACCGTACTTCCGTCAATATACTGCGGGATATAATTAAACCCTTTCATTCAATTAATAATAATTGATACGAATGTTTATAGTGATTGAAGTGATTTTCATGTATTTAACTATAATTTCTCTTTTAAATAGGACTAGCTGTTCTCATGCGGCTTCATCCGCATGATATTATGAAAATTTTATTTTATTGTTTACATGTGTCAAATTATCCATTGCAAATGTCAAAATGACATGACATGATGACAACCTTGCTTCCTTGATGTCGGCAGCAACTTAAGGTCTTTTTCCCACATTAGGGTTTTCATCCAACATATTTACCCCCTAAGTTTAATGGCGTGAAAATATATAGCCTAAAGCGTGACGTAAGTGTAGGGTTTTTTATTAAAGAAATAATTATTCAAAAATATGC